ACACCGGAGCAGAACCAAACCGAACAGAGTAGAACCGTGCTCGTGGAGAAGGAGCTTAGGTGGGCCGGATTCTTTGTCGACCACGAAGTCTGGAAGAAAGTGGCTGCAAATTTGGATGGTCTACCCTTCAGCTTTATTCCGCCTTTACTCTGATGTATGTCCTGTCATCTTTCAACCCTGACGATGTTAGAAGCAGACAGAGATTAAAAGAAGCAAAATAATAATTCTTTAATATAATTAATATTGTAAATAAACCAAATTAGCTTAGAGGCAATACTTGAAGAAACTAAGGTACCTGTCATACGACCCACAATTCCACTTGGGTTAGGGTGGTCGGAGAAGGATCCACCGGACCCATCTGTCAAATTGGGGGAAAATGAGGACACATTTGTGGACTGCAATTGGAGGAGTTTTTGAATTTGGACAACCAGTGATGTAAGAAGCCGACAAATTCTGTTTATGAAGGATGCAGCCCCCGAATTTGGACACAGCCTGTATCTAAAATGCTCTTATTTTTAATATTTGGTCTTTATTATAAAATACCCTCCTTTCAGTTTTAGCAGATTCCTCGAATACTTAAGTCAATATTGTAGGTTAAGAGTACTTATTATTTATCAGTGAGAAGAGTAATGGGAACTGAAAGGGATACATTGAGGAGCTAATGAATGAGGAGAATGAGAGGTAAAGAAAATTAGAGGTTGAAAAGAGAGTTGGAAAGATTAGTGAGGATGGTGTTTGGAAAGCATTGAAGGAGTTGAAAAAGGGGAGTTGGTTCTGATGACATACCAACAGAGGTATGGAAATATCTAGGAAAGATTGCATTAAAATTTTTGACTTGATTATTCAATGGTATTTTTTAAAGAGAGATGCAGTGCCTGAGAAAAGGAGGAGGAATGGTCTGGTGCCATTTTTTTAAGAACAATGGTATACAGAGTTATAGCAACTAAGTAAGTTGATGTCATTCTGGGAGAGAGTTATGAAAGCTTCAACAAGAGATGACTTTTTGTGAGCAATATTATGGTTTTATATCMACATAGAGCAGCACGTATGTCATCTTTGCTTTGAGGGTGCTGATGGAGAAGTACAAACATGTTTGAGGTAGAAATGAACACAGAAAACTGGTGTTGAACTCTAGATGCACAGGGGAGTGTGAAGGTACATTCACACTTGTATCTCTGATAGTCTATTTTCAGACAGTGAGTATGCCACATTGCTGACTTTGTTATGCCTCCATTGTGGATTTATTCAAACATGACAGGAGAGAAAAAAACGCTACATGCTGGTGCAATATTTGTCACCTGCTTCCTGACACAGAGCTGAGAACAGATAATAGGAATCAAAGCACCGAGTTGTGATTAGGAGGAACATTTTTTTTCAGGCTGGCTGATTAAAAGTTCTTTTGAAACAGTTACTATCAGGTCAGACAGTAGACAGTTTATTTTTTAACAATTTAATCTTTTTGGTAGAAAAATCTATAATTAGATTTAAACGTAGCATCTTTGTGTTTCTGTAAAGTTTAGTCGTGATTTTCTGACTAAGAATTCAAGACTTTCTTTAGAATGTATAATATGACCAATGAAATGATAATAGCATAATAATGCAAGTACATCCTGTCAAAGATCAATAAATTTTAATTTCAAAATAACATTTAACTCTGAAACTGGAAGACATTTTAAATATCCATAATAAATAAATAAAACAACCAAATATAAAATACATATACTTTCAGTTACTGCTATCAAAAAATGCCAAAAATACCCAACACAACAAAACAAAAACAATAAAATGGAAACAAAAACCACACACAACCGAAACAGTAGATCAAATGGATTATGAAGTCTGTAAACCAAATTTTTCTTCAAACAAATACAGGAATACAAAGTAAATAAACAAGCAGGCAAATAAATGGAAATTACTGACGTCATTTTAATTTATCATACGACAAATTGATTTGTTTATCATGACAGGCCTGTTGCTATCAAACATTAGAAAATAAGATGGAGAGGTTTGTGATTGATTATTAACAAATGTAAGCCACAGTGTTATAATCCTCTATAAAAGTAGTTTATTTTTATTTACTTGAACTTCACATTGTTCCTGAATACTGCATCTTGAATACTTTCTACCTTAAAATGAAAAAGRCATGGAACATATGACAATTAAAGCAATCATCCATGTATATTCACATGTATTTATTAAGGAATCACTTAGTGCTTGAATTCTTTTGACATTAAAATGTCCTGTATTTGAACGACATTTAGCTTTTTCTTCTGGTTTAAAAATAACAGTGAGTCACTGTTTGTGCATGATTTTTAAGCTGGGTCTTTGGTGCCTTCATAGTGCATCAGTGTGATTCATATTAACTTTAATGGCTGAAATGGAGGGAGGGTAAGTTGATTCATCACTGATGGGGCTCTGACCTGGTAATGAAAAGAGTCACTGAACTAAATAAAACTATGGAGGTCTTATAATTCAAAAAATATTTTATTTTATTTTTGTTCAGTCATTAAAATGTTTTGTATTTTAAAAATAGCTATTTTCAGTTTGTAGCTTGGCTTTTGTGAAACACTGGTCCGTTCTGGTCTGTTGRCAAATGATTTTGTAGAAAAAAGAAACAAAGCCCTATTCTCATGATTTATTGATTCAGTCAAACCTTTACCAAAAATAATTTTCATTTGGCCTAGTTTGTGTTTTTGTCAGATTGTTTGAGTTATTTCAAACCARTTAGAACACGTGCCTCCATTAAGTTGTGGTGCAGTTTATGGAAATGCTAACATGGCCTTGGATTTCAATGGAACATAGTTGGAGTTTAAACCAATAAGAACATATTGCTTATTGATAATTAATAAAGGTCATAAAATTACAAATTTGCAAGAAGTATGGTTGGAAATAATAATAATAAAAACTAGATTTAGGTCTTTTTTAATTATTTAAAACTCTTAAGTCCTACAAATTTGTTCCTATTAACAATTTTTTGCCTTTAAAATTCATCAAAGGACTACAGGAACTGCCTGATGCAGACTGGCTGCATTTATTTAGCACAGAAATAACAGTTTTTTGATAGGTTTTTTTTTGTGTGTGTGAATGCTTAACATAACAGGATTCTCATGCAGTGTCTTTGTCAGTACAAGATTTCATTTTATGTAAAACGTAGTCTGTGTATTGTAGGACCATTACTAACCATTGGCCTTTGCCCTTGAATGACCATGCACAGAGGAGGATTGCTGGAATTGTTACTCCGCTGCTTTCCCTCCAGCTACTCTTCAGAATTTAGGCCACTTTTTGTGTATTGCTCTGTCCTCCCTCCTCCCCATCTAGTTGCAAAATAGTGATGTCATTCTGCAGTCCTGTTGTCATTCTGTGAAAGCTGCTTCTTTTTGACTTTGACCAAACCGTATTGTCCTTTGTTCTGCAGAAGAGGCCTAAAACAGATTGATGTGGCATACTTTGTTCCTGTGGAAGCTAAAACACACAAAGATGCCGTTTTGTTTCATAAAGCCGTGCGATACTTCTCCCAGTGTGAGATAAATTAGTACGAGGACGTTCCACTGTCGCTCGTTTGTCCTCCGCTCCTCACTTCACAGATGATGCACACCTCTAATTCTTTAAGTGAACAATGGGTGCTCAGAAAACTGGCTAAGTCGTGTTTTATTAGGCCGGCTTGTCTTCTAGTTAGAGTTTGATATATCTGAACTGGTCTCGAACAATATTATCATTTATCGCGATAACTTCTGAGACAATTTATCGTTCTGTAAAATTTGTTATCGTGACCAGTAGGGGTGCACCAATAAATCGTTTTAAATCGGAATCGTGATTCTCTTTTACAAAGATTCAGAATTGATTTAAAATGTCCCAAAATCGATATACTATACACACACACACACACACACACACACACACACACACACACACACAAAGAAAATCCAAAGGTTGTCAACATCTATTGTGTAACCACTCAGCACATGCATACTTTACTGAATTAGTCTGAGTTTGACATGAGCTTCACTGTGTGCAARATTTGCAAAATGACAATGRMACACTTTAGGAACACGACAAATGGGCTCACATTGAGTTTTGAATGAAAAAATAGATTTTGAATCGAATCGTGACCCCAAAAATGTGAATCGGATCGAATCGTGACATAGTAAAAGATTCCCACCCCTAGTAACCAGGCCTACTAAGAAGCATAAAAGAAGCCAAGTGTTTTGAGGTACAAGGAGTGCAGCATGATTTGTTGTTGAGGAAGCAGATTGACTTTGCTCGGGGGCTGGCTGGTGGGGTTCTGAGCTGCTAACTGAAGGCAATATTTTACTTTGATCATATCTACAGATTTATGAAACATTAAAATGGGTCACAAACTAACTAATCTGCAACGTAAACATCAAAGTTTATTTCCTCCAACTTTTTTTTTTGCCTGTTTTCCTCCCTCTTCAATAGGAAATGTAATATTGTGGACAGAGCTGATGTAGTTTTTGGTCGCATGCTTCAGCCCTTTGTTTGTCAAACTCAGCATCCCGTCTGTCAAGTCAGACCACCTGTACTTTCTGTTTTTTTTTTTTTTTGCTGAGTTCTGGGAAATGTTTTTCTTCAGATTCAGTGCATTCAGGTCGGTTGTTCAGCAGAAACCCTTTACTTCATGTAGCACAGCAGTATTTTTTCTGACAGCTATAATCACAAAGTAAAATCTAAGCATTTGGTGACTMCAGACACTGATATGAAACTACTACAGATAATTTTTGTACTTCACAATCAGTATGCTGTTATCGTCTGTTTTTGAACAGAATGTTAAACTTGTGATGCATTTAAGATAAATAGCTGCTTGACATTTTTGGACTGAATTTGTCACATTTCTTAGATTTTAGACTCTTTGACMCCCCCCCCCCCCCCACACACACACACACACACACACACCCTCCTACAATGTGTTGAACATTTTAGCTTACAGAATAGGTGAGACAAAGATGTCAGAGAACATGATTTGTTATCTCTTGTGTTTACAGGAAGAAGTCCTTTCTGTACGCCGCACTCTACGCTGCCTTTATCCTGGGAGGCCGTCATGTCATGAAACAAAGGGAAAAGTTTGAGTTGAGGAAACCACTGGTGCTATGGTCCCTCACGCTCGCAGTATTCAGGTAAAAACAGTTAAACAGATGAATACATTTTAAAAATAAAGATTTTTAGAAGAAAATCAACTTGGTTTTCWGCTAAATTATTCTCGTTTCTAATTCTGATCTAGCCTTTTTTTACATTAGTAAAAATGTTTTTCTAGGTTTACTTTGTTCACAGTTTAACAGTAGTTATTAATGATGTCATCACACTAAGATGATTCTGTGTGTCTTCATCGTTTCTGTTTATGTAGTATATTGGGTGCCATCCGAAGTGGGAGCTACATGACATTCGTCCTGATGACCAAAGGGCTAAAACAATCAGTCTGTGATCAGGGCTTCTACAACGGGCCAGTCAGCAAGTTCTGGGCTTATGCTTTTGTTCTTAGTAAAGCACCTGAACTGGGTAAGTGAAGATGTTTCTGATATTGTGTGGTTTTTGAGTGTAATTTAGTGAATTTAGTGCAAAAGTCTGTGTGAAATTTCCGATTCTCCAGATTTACGGAGCCCGCTAGGGGACATGGGGGAATTTTTTTTCTTTTGCGTTCCCACGCAATACCTTTTGCGTTACCTCGCAATATTGTTTTGCGTTCCCACGCAAAAGTTTGATTTGTATATGAACTGAATTAAATCAGACTTTTATTTTGAAATATCCGGTTACCAAATCAGGATGTGTCGCCACAGTTTGTGAAATTGACCTTGATGTTGTGTGGCTGCACTGTGTTAAAATATCGGCATATGACATACTTCCATGTGTGGTTGTGTGATATATCCATTCTAAAGCTGAATTAAAGCAGAACACTAACTTGCTAATGGTAAAAATGTGAATTTGTTAATAAACTGGCAGGCACAACAGTGTTTAACGACTTTTGCGAGGGAACGCAAAAAGAAAAAAAATCCCCCATGTCCCCTCRCGGGCTCAGTACAGATTAGGGATGCATGATATGTGACCCATTGTATTGAAGTGAGGATTAGGTCAAATTAGGTCAAAATTAACTAATCACATTTTTAACTAATCACATTTTTGACCTAATCACATTTTCAGGTTCCTGGCTTTAAAAGCTACATTTTGATAGTTAGATCATCCTGATATCATAAATGGATCCAGAGATATGACTTAATTTATCTTGTTGGTTACAATGGCAAATTAATATTTGGTCTGAATCCTTATTTTATGTAATTTTAATGAGAAAATGTTTATGTCATTTGAAAGAAGAAACCTCAAATTACATTTAAATATTGAAATTTCTTAACTGGAAAGAAACAAAGTTTGCTAGCTTTCAAAATTTTTAAGGCGTTTTCCCTCAAAATCAGTTTTTTTGTTGCTTATCCTTAAAAAAGGGCTTCAAAATTTTTTTTATTTACGATTATATTTCAGACAGCTCATTCAAATGATATATTGATAAGGCATTTATTTGTTAAATTTTGACAAAATGTCATTTTTGGAAATGTTTTAATCAGAACATTATATCTCCCCATTTTTCCACATCCAATTTTTAGACTTGCTCCTTGTTTCAGTTTGATGAGTCACATGTTGCCATTAATGTCGGTATCAGCCGATGTTGGTCATTTTTTAGCAAATTGGTATCGGTCCAATAAGTAAAACTGGGCCAATATTGATTTCCCACTTGTCATGTCACCAGTCTGGTCACTTTGTACGGTATTGAAAAAAAGACACAAGTATGTTTGTGCGTATGTATATACAGTATAACTAATTTGTGTGTTTGTGTAATATTGGTAAATATCAGTTATCGGCCATAACAGTTAGATTAATATTGTATGTCGACATCGACTKAAATKTTCATATCGGTGCATCCCTAATCCAGACAATTAAAAACAGTGTCCTGATTTCCAAAACCTCCTTTTTGGAGGTAAATATTTTAGCGTTAATTAATTGTATTTTCTTGGTGATTAGAATGAAAAATGAAAGATTTTGTTTGTTGTATTTTTTGTGTGRCAAAAGCTTTCTTTTAGCTGAACGTTTTTTTCAGTTTTAGGAATCCTTTCCTTTTTGTTACCCCCCACCTGCAGGTGACACTCTTTTTATCGTCCTGAGGAAACAGAAGCTCATCTTTCTCCACTGGTACCACCACATCACAGTGCTGCTCTACTCCTGGTACTCGTACAAAGACATGGTGGCCGGCGGCGGCTGGTTCATGACCATGAACTACTTGGTCCACGCCGTCATGTACTCGTACTACGCCTTGCGGGCGGCCGGCTTCAAGGTGTCCCGCAAGTTCGCCATGTTCATCACGCTGACCCAGATCACCCAGATGCTGATGGGCTGCGTGGTCAACTACCTGGTGTACTCGTGGATGCAGCAGGGCCAGGAGTGTCCATCCCACGTGCAGAACATTGTGTGGTCGTCCCTCATGTACCTCAGCTATTTTGTGCTCTTTGTCCAGTTCTTCTTTGAAGCCTATGTTGGCAAGTCCAAACCATCAGCTGTCGGCAAGAAAAACACTTAGAGAAATACCAAAAGTATGGTGGGGAAAGGGAGATCGTTTTTAAAAAAAAAAAAAGGGAAATGAAAACTGACAACAGGGACCAGTGACTTGAAAGATAGTTGACCTGAGGTGAGAGAGATGGGGCAGGGAGGGGCAGTAAGGGCTATTGAGAGGGTGGGGGTGGGGTTTTAAAAGGACTGGTGTGTTGAGCTTTACTACTTATGTGCAGATTTATGAAAATTATCTTATTGGAGGTGATGTCTCCCTTGAAGGATACTGAGGAAGCAGCACCACCATGTAGAAAAGCCATCATGAAGGTTAAAACTTCCTGTTGTGGACTCAGTTTTTAAAAACTTTAAAAAAAAAACAATGTTTTGATTAGATCTGCCAGAAGAACTATTTAATATTGATAATAAAGGGTTACATGTATTGATGGATGGTATCAGTTGAACATGAAGTTTCTGCTTTTTACTTTGTCTGTTTTTAATTCGACCTGAGAAAGAAGGAGTTTGATGAGTGAAAATGAAGTTTAACAGTTTTGATATGAACGGATTGGATGAGAGGCGCTAACGTCTGTGTCTTTCATTGCGAGTTGCAATAATTTTCTCAGGTCTTGGCTTGTCTCTTACTGAATATAATATTATGCATATCAAGATGAGGTAGATATGTTTAACATGTGCTCCAGTTTACAGTATGGCTGAGTTGCTTCGACGATGATTGCTATTTGAGAAATAAAACTAAAAAAAAAAAAACAGTGCGAGTGACAGAATGAAGCCGATTGGTCTGACTGACGGATACACTGCACATGGCCGCGATTGGGAATAGTTGCTGACGGTGCCCTGCTTCACCACTTGCTTTGACCTTAAAGAAGTTGCCGACCACAAACGATAAACGACCTGACATTGTGTTAAAGGATCCCTTCCTGTGAGGAAAACCAGTCTGTTGCACACTGAAAGGCTTAGGCTGAGAACACGTATATATGTTTTGAAAAAAATACAAAAATGAAAAAAAAAAACATGCAAATTGTCAACATCTGCTGTATTGAAAACAATTAGTATGTATCCTTAATGGTGTCTGTTGTGCTATTGTGCATTTGCACTGTGTCAATGTCAGAAAACAATCGTAGCTGAAAAGTCTAACGTATGAACAAAGTGTGTGAAAATGTGACTCGTGGTGTTTTTGTTTGTTGTCTGCACCATCCTGGCATCACACATGCATAGTCCATTTCTCGGTGC